ACATTATTACCATTTATTAGATAATGATAATCATGATCGTGTATTCGTGTTAAAAGATTTTATGATATCATTTTTATTATTATTTTTTTAATTTTTTACTATTTTATTAATATTAATTAATATATATTATATTATTAGAGATTTGTTTCAATTGTAATTTGAAAAATATAATTGATTAATTTTTCAATATACCCTTTTTGGTCATTGTACATTTTCATCAGCTAGTTTTGTCAAATATGATTTGTTCATCAACTAACTTATCAACTACCAACTAGCTTATCAGCTACCAACGAGTTTCTTAGCTAGTTTACCTGAGAGAATAGCCTAAAACATTTTTAACACCCTATAAACCTAAATTTCATATATAGTAAAAATTAACCATGGTTTGAAAAAAAAAAATATAATTTGCATTTAAACACCAAAGATTCCAAATCTTTCCACAAAATTCAAATTCCTAAAAAACATTTCGTGAAACCAAACGGGCCCTTAAGGAATTTCATCTGAAAGTCCGATATTCCAAATCCAAACTTTTCTTCACACCGAGCATATGATTGAAATGAAATTGAATTCCAAATTCTACTAAATCTCTGAAACTAACGGACCCTAAGTTTTCTTGCATTGAAATCATGAAATTCTCAGTGATTTTTCTTTGCTCTATTTTTCGGGTAGATGCAAACATACAATCAATAACTTTGGATGAGTGGGTTAATTTGTTCCTGAAAAGTAGTAAGCTTTCATTAAATCAATACTAATACTAGGACTTTGTCTTTTGCTTATATTGATGTCGGCTATTGGCCACCTGGGCTAGGGTTGGGTTGTACGTCCTTTAAAGCGACATGTGAGTTGAGTTCAGAACAACGTGAGATAGTTCGAGCCATATCTGGTATGGGAATTAGATCATGTTTCCTTTAAGGAATTGAAATTAAGGATAGATCCGGAGATTACCAAATAGGTTAACATTTTAAAATTTGGTGTTGATGCATCGAAAAGGTTCTCGATTGATACGTATGGGATAGAGGAAGAGTAAAAGCTTATATTTCAGATAATACTTTTAATAATTCGATTTATATCGCTCAATGAGAAAAATGACTCCAATGCTTAAGGATGAAACCTATAATATTCACGGCAAACTAAGGCTAGATTAAAAAGACGAAATGCATTTGAGATTGGGGATTTCAGGTTCATCAAGAATTTGATGTTAATAATTTTTTTTATTAACCTGGATATCCAACCCGCTATGCGAGCCGATTAATCCCAGGGCGACCACCTGCTTTGCAGATAGTCCGGAGTCACCGCATTTGAACCTCCGTGGCCACAAGGAGATTTTTATTTTTCTCCTTGGATTTAAACCCGAGACCTCCTGGTATTTTTGACCTTTGGATCCAAGCTCAAACGAATCAGACACCACCCTTGTGGTTAATTTGATGTTAATAATTGAACTATGAAAATACGTAATTTCAATATTCGACACATCTTTCACTCACCACATAACTCAAAGTTTTACACTTCCCATTGTAGAATTCATAAACATGCTATATAAGTGAATTGCAGATCAAAGATGTCCCAACGTTTTTAAAGGAAAAAACGATTTTACATGTATAGTTGAATCTTACCTTTCTATGATCAGTACGAAAAAGAGGCGAACAACATTAACCAACCTGTCTTGATAAAAACCGTTGCATAATCCACACACACGTATAATATAACTACTCATCCAACTGCGACTAAATCTCATGAGCTATTCTATTACATAAATCAAACACCTGTCTGTTATTTAAACGGTGTTTATAAAAAACGAATAATTACTTTCTTACACGTATCGTTTCTAACCTAAACATTACTTGGCATAGGTGAAGGGTTTGTAGATAACATGCTTAAAACATGTTTGCGGGTTTTTTGGACTTTATTTTCTTGGAATGTTTGATATGTCCAAAGTTAATCCTCATAAAATCAAACTACAAAGACGTCCAATCTTTTTGGAGGCTTATGTTTCTTCAATAATAAGGTTAAATTGCTTGTGGAAAGATCAAGAGACACATACCGTATTTAGGATGTGGACAAGATGAGTTGTTATTTGTGGGGATTTATATTGATTTGTCGAAAAGCCTCACAACTTTATGTATAAGACAAGTCTGTTTCAGTATTTGAGTTGAACGTGGTGTGGTAGTCTTCGAGAACAGTTGTTTGGTTTTGATTAAAATAAATTGCAACGCAAAACAATATACTTTCGTTTTATTTTAATTTGGTCACAAGGAAAATTGATTCAGAAAGAAATAATAGGGTAA